CTGCTTCTTGGACATCAGAACGCCCATGGCTACAACACAGAGAGAGAGCAAGAGAAAGAGAGAATAAAATATCAAGCTATAAGGGTGGACACAACTCAAAAACTTTGATGTGAAATTATTTTTTTCTTTCGGTTTTTTCAGACCTCAGAGTAAAATTTTAAGTCTGATTCATTCATTCATTCATTCATTCATTCATTTGTTCATTCATCTTCAATACCTGTTGTGTCCTGAAAAATAGAATAAGGCTGGAGAGGAGAAATGGGTACAAACCACTAATTAGTATTTCTGTTCTCTTTCTAACTAGATAGTTTCTTGGGGCTAGCTAGTTTATACTCATCTAGAAAAACAGTAGCCTAATGGTTAATTGTGTCACTGCATTTTGTTATATATATATATATATATATATATATATATATATATATATATATATATATATATATATATATATATATATAAACAAAATGTGTGTGTGTGTGCATTGACTATAACAAATTAATCATGTCCTGATTTTCAAAAGTGACTATTTGAACAGTCATTAATTCATCATTCAGTTTTGATACTAGTGGAATTCTGTTATTACATTACATTATTAATTTTTATTCTTTATCAAACTTAATTAAGCATTATTTCCTGTATTCTTGCATTACTTAATAATATGATTGGGCAAGTAGAATGTTGCTATCATTTCTAACCAGTGAGAAAAACAGAAAAGCTGCAAATTACCAATCCGCCAAGTTCATTATACCACTGAATTATGCTTGCGGCAGCATAGAAATAGTTGTAGTAGAAACTGGCCTGCGAAACAAAGAGCTATGTGGTTGTCTTTCAACAGATAAACAGCATTAGCTGCTTTATTAAAAACTGAAATGATGAACGTCAATCAACACAGAAAATGCAGAAATGGCTTATAACATTTCAAGGCTGTACAAGAGACTGACACGTTGCTGAACGTGAGACACATGAAGCACATGAGCTGACAGTTTTTTCTGCTTGCCTGTTGGAGTATGCTAATCCACCTCATATACTTCATGTGGTGGAGTATGCTAATCCACCACATGAAGTACATGACTTGGATTAGCATACTCCAATAGGCAAGCAGAAACAAAATGTCAGCTCGTCAATCATGTTTGGAAAAGAAAGGACAGTGTTGGTGGCTTAGGAATTAGCATCTGTAAGGTGAATGTGGAATTAATTAATAAGGCTGAAAACAAGAACCACAATAGTGATTTGAGACTTCACTCATTATTATCATCTGGCTGATGGTAGAACGGGTTTAACTAGGTGAATGAATTAGTTTCCATGGACGATGGATGATCGGAAGCGAAATAAAATACTGAACAACCACGATAAAGTGCAGCAGGACCACACTTAATTCAGCTTGACTATTGATACTGATAATCACAATAATGGGAAGTGTAATCTCATGAGCCAAATTTCTCATGGGCAAGAACATAACCAAGAGTCACCTACTTTCAAAACAAGCAGCCACAGGTTGTAGTTTTCATGGCGGTGCTACAAAATACAGACATGAAATCTTGAAACAACTACAGACTTTTGTTTGGACATAACTCACCAACAAAAGCAGAATTAGCAAGGATTTACAGGACTTTACATACTACAACCCAAGCAACAAAATGGTACTGTATGACTCTGGAATCAGGTTGAGGCTGAGACTAGAGGAAACTGCAACCTTATCTCTCAAGCACAAATTAGAATTCAATTTATTCAACTTGACTAGATTTACAGTAGACACTTTAAAGGATTTTGAATGTTTTAAGCCCATATTTCAAAAGATAACTGTTTCTAATGCATTGCTGGCTATGGATGCCTGGAAAACCCTGTCACTTTATCCTGCAATTCCGAGAAACACCACTTTGACACTGACATTTACTGCAAGCTACAAGTAACTACTTACAGATACTTTACAAATCTTATGAGAGTTTCACTAGATCATGCTTCCATATAGTGGAGACTGGTATGTACACTTCTGGATGATAGCCCTTAAGTAAGGAATAAAACACCACGTCTGGATTTGGACTTCCGATATTATAGTGGTGTGATGAAGCGGAGTTACTCTTACCTCCGTAAGGTTGATTATTTTCTTATAACAGCTTGTCCTGAAGTGTTTTATTCCTCTGATACTACAGCATTTGTACCAACAATTACAATTCATTCATTTATTCATCTTCATCTAAGAACGTTATCCTGGTCAGAGTCCAATGGGATCCAGTGTCAATCGCAGGAACACTCGGAGCAAGGTAGGAGTCCAACCAGGAGGAAACCCACGCAAACACGAGGAAAATGTAAAACCTTGCACAGACAGGGATCCAAGCTCAGGATCGAACCTGGGATCCTCAGCTGTGAGGTGGCAATCACCCTTGATAAATAAAAATATCAAAAATAATATTTGTTGTTATTTTGCTGCTGTGTATTTCACTCACAGTCCTCAAGTTGTTCGGCTCATTTTTCCAGACAGCTGTCCTCTATCATCATGCTGGTCAGCACTGCTATATCAGCTTTCTCCCTGAGGATGGAGTCGTGTGGAGCAACTTTAATTACCAGCAAAGGTGGGAAAGCAGTCTGAAACTTCAAGGCTGTGTGTGAGTCAGTGACAGAGAGCTCACTGCAGTAACTAATCCTCAGCCTCAAAATATCCAGATGTCTGGCTTTCAGAAAACACAGAGGGAGCTGGTTTGAGCTGAAGCTTCTGAATTAATATATTTGCTTTAGATCAAACTGCAAATGGAGGTAGCTGTGTGGATGTAATGCCCTGAACTGAAAAATCTGAATTCATGTCATGGAAGACATAATCACAACATTACACCTGCAACTATGAGATGTTGTCCGGACCTCAGGAAAATCAAGACATCTATAACAACAACAACAGAAGAAAATAATTATAATAATGACAATGACAACAACAACAATAAAATAATTAAAAAAGAGAAGAGAAAATGACTAACAGTAAAACAACACAAAAGGAAAAATGACAATAACAACAATGACAACAACAACAATAAAAACATGGAAGAGAAAATAATAACAACAATGGCAACAATAAAAATAATTTAAAAAAAATAAAAACAGACTAGAAAATGACAATAACAATAACAACACAAACAATGGAACAACATAGAAAAGAAAATGACAATATCAACAATGACAACATCAATAAAAAAAACAGAAACGAAAAAAGGACTATAACAATGACAACAAACAACAACAATAGGAAACATAATAAAAGAAAATGACAACAACAATCACAACAATGTAAACATAGAAGACAAAATAACAATGACAACAATGAAAAATGATTTTTAAAAAGCATAGAAGAGAAAACTTTAGAAGACTAACAATCATGACAAAGAAAATCAAATAAAAAAAACAGAAAAAAAGAATTACTAGCAATGACAAGAACAACTATAAATAAATTATAAATAATAAACTTATTTTATTATAAATAGGGTTTTTTAATCCCTTCATATATTTTTATGTATATATTTTTCTTTATATTTTATATTTTTATTTTATGTCAGAACAGTAGTATAAAGAATTTCACTGCAAGTCATACTGTGTATGGTTATGCATGTGACAAATAAAATTTGAATTTAAATAAATGCAAAAAAAACAGAGAAAATGAGAATAAAAACAAAGACAACAACAACAATTTTTTTAAAAAGTGGGGGAAATGCATGCTGTGAACATAGTGAGCATAAAATCATAAGTATGTTAACATTTTTGAAGAGAAAGCTTGAAAATAGGGATTAGCTCTCAAAATGTAAACAGCCTAACTATCTCCAGTAATATATGACATCATATTTGTGCTTATGAATGATTTGAGAAGAGACTTACGTTCCCTGACAAGAGGTGTGGTGGTGTGGACTAAGGATTTAAAAAAATCAGGAAGTCTAATTTCATTCCAGAGTGTAATTCCTGAAATTATAACCTAAATATCCCGTTCCTAACTAAATGTTCCAGCTTCCTTTGCTTCTTAAGATTCTTTCCTGGCAGACAGAAGTGAACATTCCGGATCTGAGCTATGAATTTTAAACGGCAGATCTAATTATTTCTCTTTCTCTGGAAACTTTTATACCAGTGTATCCATCAGCACTATCAGGAAAACTGATAAAGAGGATTGAATAACATGCATTTGTAAACAAAACGCTGCTTCCTTCAGTGGAAACGGAGATGGGTTTGAGGGTTTCATGCCTTTAAATAGCTTCTGATCAGAGATTCACATTATTCACATGAGGGATATTATGATAAGCATGCAGGGATGGGTCACGCTTTTTCACGGCCACATTTACCAAACTAGATACGAATCAATTTATTCGTAAATCATTTGCAGGAGCATTTGCACAGGAAATGAGGTTCTCATGAAAATCCAATTAGTTGTAAAAACGTATCCTACATTTCTGATCCTTCCCTATCCTACATTTCGCTCCTGAGTTTGTGTAAATTACATATAAGGAGACTCACTGATGTGAACCTCGATTGATCGGCTTCAAATTATGCAACTGGCAATGAGTTACTCTGATTTTGTATACGAAATTAATTGACGTTACTAATTTAATTCAATTACACATGAATTTAATGAAAATCAGCTATTTCATATTAATGACTTGAAAGAAAGTGATCCAAAACAAATTCATAAATGAAGACAAATAAGACTTGGCATACAATTTGGACAAAGTAATGGCACTCCGTAACAGGAGGAGGTGTTACTGCCTGTCTATGGTAGCTGGCGCACTGCAATGGCTGAGCTGCATTACTGGAAGATTTAGTACACACGGCACTTTCACCATTTCGTCGCCATTTTGTCCTTTTTCAGCTCTCTCTGAGCTTTGCCTTTTATGGAGTTTCGTGGCAGTCACTTTAGCTTGCTGTGAACATGCATGGTAATTTATAGCTGTTTGGTATTTTTCAGCATACACATGTTTGCATTTACTGTACATTTAAACATTTTCCATGAACTTAGAGCCTCATTATGCAATGTTTAGGGCAGTGGTAGCTCAGTGGTTAAGACGTGGGACTACTGATCGGCTGGTCATGAGTTCAATCCCCAGCACCCTGCCACTGCTGGGCCCTTGAGCAAGGCCCTTAACCCTCGACTACTCAGTTGTATAAATGAGATAAATGTAAGTCGCTCTGGATAAGGGCGTCTGCCAAATGCTATAAACAAACATAAATGTTTACAACTGGTTCTAAATACATTATTTATGCATTTTGCATAATTAACTCTAAGCTAAGATTCACAAAACCTCCGGGCGAAATGCAGAATATTAGCCCCGCCCCCCATTGGAAACAGTGCTTATCCATGTTTTCATGCGCTTTGGAAATTTCAAACCACTTTTCTAAATTTGTACATTAATAACTTGATGTAACTTGAAGCAAATAAATGAAAATGGGCATTATTTCTTAGCTACACTTGCCCCATAGGTCCAGTACAAAGCTAAACAAGCAAATATTTCACATTAAACATGTCTTGGCTGATCAACTACATTTGTGAGATTTATTTATTTTTTTTTACTAAACTAATTCTTTAACAAGAAAAGTGATAAATTATTCATTTTCCCCTCAGCCCCTGTGTCAGACAGACAGCTCTGGGATCAGCCAAAGCGCTCTGAAAATTTAAACGCCTCCAGATTAAAAAAAGCATTGCAGAGGAGGGTAACAGAGATGACAACCCTGAAGCGAAGCTTGACATGAGTGACTGCTGTTGTTTCCTCAGTGATTCAGCTGTGCATCCGCTCGTATGTCTGGAGTCAAATTAAATACACGCCTCAGATTCCTTTCCATGAAAACAAGCATTATTTAATAATGGCTAATACTGAAAGGTCATAGAAGGACAGAAACTTTCCTGATAACTCAATTATGGAAATCAGTGCACTGGCCTTAAAATTTATAATATAGCTAAACTGGTTTAAAACAGCATGTATCAGCTAGACGTTGGCACACTGAATCGATGCAGGAGTCACTGTACCAGTAATGTCTACTTTTATTACTAATGTAGTCTATTATTTTAGAAACATTATCAAATTATTTTTTTCTTTGGCAGAAGCAGTTTCTCTTTCTCTCTCAATGCCTGTGTCTGGTCCAAAGAAGGAGTTGTCGCCTCTCTGTCTGTAAGTTCCAGTGAAGGAGGCATGACCTTTGTGTTTGTCTGTTAGCTCCAAAAAAGGATGTGTGGAACCCATGCCTGTAAGTTCCAATGGAGGAGGCGTGGTTTCTATGACTGTTAGTTCCAGTAGAGGAGGTGTGGCCTCTGTGCTTGTTAGAGCCAACCAAGGAGGGATGGTGCCCATGCCTATTAGTTCCAATGGAGGATGCATGGCTTCTGTGTCTGTTAGTTGCAGTAGATGCAATGTGGTTTCTGTGCCTGATAGTCCCAATCAAGGAAGCATGGAGCCCAAGCCTGTTAGTTCCAACTGACGAGGCATAGTTTCTCTGACTATTAGTTTCACTCAAGGAGGCATGGCCTCTGTGCATGTTAGTTACAATGCAGGAGGCGTGGCCTATTTTCCTGTTATTTACAGTCTAGGAGACGTGGCTTCTATGTCTGTGAGTCCCAATGAAAGAGGAGTGGCTTCTTGCTTGTTAGTCCCAGCGAAGGAGGTGTGGCCTTTGTGTCTGTCGCTTCCAGTGAAGGAGGCGTGGCCACCTATTTCTCAAAGATTTTTTTCAATTAACTTAGGAATGTTTTCACAATAATGGATGACATTGTATCATCAAAATAACTTTGTTGTATTGAAACATTGGCTGCTTTTAAATGTATCTTCAATAGACAAAAAAAAAAACAGCTACACACCTCTTATATCTATATGCTTATATTTAAGATGAGGGGCAGGGTTAGTGTTAGTACCTTTTCAATGATTTCATACATAATAAATAAACAAACTAATAACTAATAATTTACAAGTAAACAAAATCCAACCACATTGCTACCACTTATTCAGATTTGTATGAATGTCTCATGGGACCAGGTTGGCCAGTTTGTAATCGTGATTAGCATTCAGCCTGACTGTATTAAAAACTTTTTTTCCCCCACACTGTCGTCATTGTAATTTTATCTTGCGCAGGTCCGCTTTTCCCCTGCTGCTCAGCACTGACTGGAATCCCAACCAGCTCTGCCTTTCATTCCTCACTCCTGTAGGGACAGCCTCTGTAAATGAGGCAGCTACAAAGCTTTTATTCTCTCCATGGGAACGGCTCACCATTGATTCGAGTCCCCGCAGCACACGGACCAAAAGCCCTGGAACTAATCTTGCTAACGAGTTCACTAAGGCCACCTTCTGCCCCTGCGCCCACAGAATCACAAACAGTCGGCCGACCCACTCGGCAAAACAAAAACAATGACAAGGATGAACAGAGACATGAGGAGCAGCATTTCTAGAAAATATATAGTGTTACCTTTGTGTGGAATTTATGAGCAAATCAGTTCTATAACAACCTCAAATAATAAATGTCTCCACCAATTAGATGAGATTTCACAGGGAAAGTTCACAGGGAAAGTGCGACTCTTTCAGGGACATGCAGGAATTTGAATGTAAATACCCATAGAGATTGAAGGAAAGGGAAGAAGAGCCTCCACGCTGGGATTTGAATTCTGCCAACCAGAAAACAGAACAGCTTGTGTTAAGAAGTTGTGAAACACAGCCGATCGAGTTAACATTTTGTACTTTGTATTTCACCCACTATTAGTTAGGATCCATGCCCTTTCCACCAATAGTTCTCTTCCTACCAATCACTGATGTCATATCCCTTCCCCTGAAGATAGGGGCGGAGAATACCAGTGATCATCAAAGTTTCAAAACACAGGTGAAACAGCATTGGTGCTAAATGGGCCCGAATACAAGGTGGGACAGGTGTCTTCTAAAACAAGTTCATAGAAGAAGTGTCACATTAAGGACAGGACAAATGCACTGGCACAGGAACACAGCCAACATTAATGAGTACTGCAGAGCCAGTAGGCATCTCTGTGAACCCCACTTCCACTTTAAAACGTTCTTCTTGGACGTTTTAGGATTCTTAAAGATTAGCAATTTTGAAGATGTCAGAGAGAAAGTTCAGAAATGAGCAAACTCTCAAAAAAACCATACACTGAAAACGGTTCATCTAATAAAGCAAAGGTCATGCAATTTTAGCTAAATGGATACCTTAAAGGAAAACTACATTCCTCATAATCTTACACTAATATTTGGGTATTATTAGTAGTCTTAGTCTTACATTTTCTGACATGGGAAAGTCTTCAGGACCGTGGAAGAGAAAGACAGATTGCGACAAAATGATTCTTGGATGTTGCACAACATTAAAGGTAACTATAAACTAATAAAAAAAAGTATGATGTATCTTTTCTTTAATAAATATAAATTTGTAATAATTGGCAAAATGTGGTACAAGAGGAATCAAAGACTTCATGGTGTTCTGTTATATTCCTTACATGCAGAAAATGTAGAATTCTTCAGTCATTTAAGTAATTTTAAGCTCTAGATCTGCAGAATTTGTCCCTTTAGACTTCAGACTCTCTGCTCTGTCTCATCCAAGGACCATTATTGTGAGAGTGTTTAAGGTTGTAGATATGAATTTGCATCATATACCTAAGTTATGTGTTTTAAATCTGTATGTATTACCACTGCAGCTATAGACTTCCAGTTATAAATGAGTTTGAAGTCAAAATGTTTTTTTTTCTTTTTTGTTCGCTTGTTTTTTTTTACTTAGGACTAGTACACTAGTTGAAATTCTTGTCTCTAGTAATTGAACATTCATTACAGATGCAATGGAAAGAGATTGAAATGATAGATTAAAAAAAAACACTGGAGTATTACTTGAACCTACTGCACTCCAATATTCTGTCTGTTTTTATGTGTCCATGAAAATTTCCCCTTTTACCAATCTGAGAGCTCCAGCCTTCATACACTTCCCTCTTGTATGTACTTTATTTGTCACATCCAGCTCCAGCACAAAATGCAGGAGCCACCACTCCCATTCGTAATTCAGTCCAGGCGTTACAACTCTCTAACTCACCTGAACGCTACAGCACCTGCTTCCTGTTTCCAGTTCATTACTCCATGTATTTAAAGTCCACTCTGTGGTCTTGTCATTTCTTCCAATTTGAAATTTGGAACTGTTTTCCTGTTGATCTTCCTGGTTTCAATTTTTTTTTCTTCCATTTTCTGGGCTATTTTTTCCTTTTTCACACTGTTTGCATGTTTTTTGACCTTTGCCTGTTTTTGACTATGCTTCTACCTGCCACTTTGGATTGTCATGACTTGCAATTACATCCAAATGTCTCTGAGTTCATGACAGTATGACCGAAAAAATGAAAGTTATTAGAATGAGTAATTGAAATCCGTAATCACCATTGGCTCCTTGGAGGACAACCTCAATTCAGTTTCAATTTGTACAGCACTTCCAACGTTGTCACAAAGATTTTGATTTAGATTTCTAATGAACAAGCCAGAAGCGAAAGTGGTAGCTACCGGGTAGTGCCATTATAAATCATTACAGTACACAGGTTGTAGAAGAGTAGAGAAAAACAGTACTGAGTGTGTTTACAGGATGTTCTGTATGTACGGATTGTGAATAAGAGTCCTGGGATGCACACAGGACAGTCTTTATGATTACAGCATAAAGACTGGACATTCAGACATGTTCAGACTTCCAGTACTGCAAATGGGCAAAGATTCTTAGATTCTGTCCTTGGGAGCTCGGAATAAACTAACGCTTTTGATGTGTTTGATTTTGTAAAACACCTGAGCCTCCTAAAGTGCTCATTTTTTACTTGGCTGGAAGATATATTGTGGGCTGCCAGTGGTTTCAGTGAGAACCTCTGCTATAACGTGTACAGCACATTCTCAGAAATAAAGGTACCAACCTGTACTTTTCCTTGTTGCTATGGTGGTACCATCAATAGTACATCTTTTGTATCTTTCACCTTTAAATATAACTTAAGGTATATAATTAGACATTAAGGATCACTGATATACTTTTGAAGCTTTTCTGCATGCACATTCCCAGGATAAAGATACACACTAAAGGTACAAATAGGTACCCTTGAGGGCACCATCCTAGCAAAG